TACCCGAGAAGATTTGGATTACAACTAGTCTCTAGCAACCCACTTACCCGAGAAGATCTGGCGTACAACTAGTCTCTAGCAACGCACTTACCCGTGAAGATCAGGGTTACGTTTAGTCTCTAGCAACCCACTTACCCGAGAAGATCAGGGTTACACCTAGTCTCTAGGAACCCTCTTACCTGTGAAGATCAGGGTTACACCTAGTTTCTAGCAACCCACTTACCCGTGAAGATCGGGCTTACAACTAGTCTCTAGCAACCCACTTACCCGTGAAGATCTGGGTTACAACTAGTCTCTAGCAACCCACTTACCCGTGACGATCTGGCGTACAACTAGGCTCTAGCAACCCACTTACCCATGAAGATCGGGGTTACAACTAGTCTCTAGCAACCCACTTACCCGTGAAGATCTGGCTTACAACTTGTTTCTAGCAACCCACTTACCCGTAAAGATCTTGCTTACAACTGGTCTCTAGCAAACCACTTACCCGTGAAGATCTGGCTTACAATTAGTCTTTAGCAACCCACTTACCCGTGAAGATCAGGGTTACATCTAGTCTCTAGCAACCCACTTACCCGTGAAGATCTGGCTTACAACTTGTCTTTAGCAACCCACTTACCCGAGGTCAGGGTTACAACTAGTCTCTAGCAACCCACTTACCCGTGAAGATCTGGCTTACAACTAGTCTTTAGCAACCCACTTACCCGTGAAGATCATGGTTACACCTAGTCTCCAGCAACCCACTTACCCATGAAGATCTGGGTTACAACTGGTCTCCAGCAACCCACTTACCCGTGAAGATCTGGCGTACAACTAGTCTCTAGCAACCCACTTACCCATGAAGATCTGGGTTAGAACTAGTCTCTAGCAACCCACTTACCCGTGAAGATCTGGCTTACAACTAGTCTGCAGCAACCCACTTACCCATAAAGATCATGCTTACAACGAGTCTCTAGCAAACCACTTACCCGTGAAGATCTTGCTTACAACTTGTTTCTAGCAACCCACTTACCCGTGAAGATCTTGCTTACAACTGGTCTCTAGCAAACCACTTACCCGTGAAGATCTGGCTTACAACTAGTCTTTAGCAACCCACTTACCCGTGAAGATCAGGGTTACATCTAGTCTCTAGCAACCCACTTACCCGTGAAGATCTGGCTTACAACTTGTCTTTAGCAACCCACTTACCCGAGGTCAGGGTTACAACTAGTCTCTAGCAAACCACTTACCCGTGAAGATCTGGCTTACAGCTAGTCTTTAGCAACCCACTTACCCGTGAAGATCATGGTTACACCTAGTCTCCAGCAACCCACTTACCCGTGAAGATCTGGGTTACAACTGGTCTCCAGCAACCCACTTACCCATGAAGATCAGGGTTACAACTAGTCTCCAGCAACCCACTTACCCGTGAAGATCAGGGTTACACCTAGTCTCCAGCAACCCACTTACCCGTGAAGATCAGGGTTACGTTTAGTCTCTAGCAACCCACTTACCCGAGAAGATCAGGGTTACACCTAGTCTCTAGGAACCCTCTTACCTGTGAAGATCAGGGTTACACCTAGTTTCTAGCAACCCACTTACCCGTGAAGATCGGGCTTACAACTAGTCTCTAGCAACCCACTTACCCGTGAAGATCTGGGTTACAACTAGTCTCTAGCAACCCACTTACCCGTGAATCTGGCGTACAACTAGGCTCTAGCAACCCACTTACCCATGAAGATCGGGGTTACAACTAGTCTCTAGCAACCCACTTACCCGTGAAGATCTGGCTTACAACTTGTTTCTAGCAACCCACTTACCCGTAAAGATCTTGCTTACAACTGGTCTCTAGCAAACCACTTACCCGTGAAGATCTGGCTTACAATTAGTCTTTAGCAACCCACTTACCCGTGAAGATCAGGGTTACATCTAGTCTCTAGCAAACCACTTACCCGTGAAGATCTGGCTTACAACTTGTCTTTAGCAACCCACTTACCCGAGGTCAGGGTTACAACTAGTCTCTAGCAACCCACTTACCCGTGAAGATCTGGCTTACAACTAGTCTTTAGCAACCCACTTACCCGTGAAGATCATGGTTACACCTAGTCTCCAGCAACCCACTTACCCATGAAGATCTGGGTTACAACTGGTCTCCAGCAACCCACTTACCCGTGAAGATCTGGCGTACAACTAGGCTCTAGCAACCCACTTACCCATGAAGATCTGGGTTACAACTAGTCTCTAGCAACCCACTTACCCGTGAAGATCTGGCTTACAACTAGTCTCCAGCAACCCACTTACCCATAAAGATCATGCTTACAACGAGTCTCTAGCAAACCACTTACCCGTGAAGATCTTGCTTACAACTTGTTTCTAGCAACCCACTTACCCGTGAAGATCTTGCTTACAACTGGTCTCTAGCAAACCACTTACCCGTGAAGATCTGGCTTACAACTAGTCTTTAGCAACCCACTTACCCGTGAAGATCAGGGTTACATCTAGTCTCTAGCAACCCACTTACCCGTGAAGATCTGGCTTACAACTTGTCTTTAGCAACCCACTTACCCGAGGTCAGGGTTACAACTAGTCTCTAGCAAACCACTTACCCATGAAGATCTGGCTTACAACTAGTCTTTAGCAACCCACTTACCCGTGAAGATCATGGTTACACCTAGTCTCCAGCAACCCACTTACCCGTGAAGATCTGGGTTACAACTGGTCTCCAGCAACCCACTTACCCATGAAGATCAGGGTTACAACTAGTCTCCAGCAACCCACTTACCCGTGAAGATCAGGGTTACACCTAGTCTCCAGCAACCCACTTACCCGTGAAGATCTGAGTTACAACTAGTCTCTAGCAACCCACTTACCCGTGAAGATCGGGGTTACAACTAGTCTCTAGCAACCCACTTACCCGTGAAGATCTGGGTAAGTACAACTCGTCTCTAGCAACCCACGTAGAAAGTCAATTAGTCTACGCATGCGCAGGAAAAGTTATACTCTATTTCACACTTCAGTGGTCTTTTGTTACCTCCAATGGTTTTTACAATGAAGTAGTAGGCGTAATGATACTGGGGGCTGCTTTTCTGGAAATTAATGCAAATCTTTCATTGTTGCTTTGAAAATTATTGTACATATTGTAAATGTATTTGGCTAATCAAGTGTGTTTTAGCAGCAAGACAAATCATTAGCGCTACTATTCATTGTAATCACGGCACACGGTGGCCCTGTCATTCAAGGCGGGGCAATTTCTGTGCAGAGTTGTGTCTCTTAGTGACACCAGAAAACTATGATCATAGGTTCTAATCCCAGCACCATACAGACTCATCACTTTGCACATTTCACCCATATCAAGCTCACAGGTTGTGAAAAAACGATGATGTCAACGAATGGGTCACTATGTTCCACAGTTTGGCTCCTGACAGTTTCTTGGTATAGTCCTCTCCGACGCTGATGAATTTGTCCAACATCTGCCTCTGTTCAGCCAGCAGTGGATGGATACCAGGTAGAATGAGATGGTAATATCACTTAACCATCCAGCACCTCAAAAACAGCTTCTTTTTACACACCTTAGATAGGGCGACACGCGACAACGCGACATATCCTGAAAGCCATTAAAAACGCAATTGGTATTTGTTGTCCTGAAACTTACAAAAGTGCTATTGAAGATTTTTTCCTGCGATACAGAGGATGTAGGGATAAAATGCTGTTATTCTGGCCCATTTCGAGTTCGAGTCCCGGAGCATTCCTCTCACATGAACTTTGATACTTAAAACTGAACCTTTGACGTTTCTCGTAAACACAACCACATTCATGAAACACGTTGTGCACATGCATTACCTGCACCCAGGCCCTGTAAAAGCACAAGGAATTGTGGAACTCAATCACTTTGAGAAAATGCCACACTTCACACAAGACGAAAGGAATCAGGTTATCGGTATGGTCAGCCAAGGTGCTTCAGATGTGATGATTGCCAGACACTTCAATGTGCATCCATCCACTGTAAGTCGACTCAGACAACGTTTTCGGGCTACCGGAATTGTTGCTGATCGTCCGCGACCTGGTGCACCACCTGTGATAACAGCTCGACAAAACCGCAATATCCGAGTTTCACACTTGCGAAATCGGTTCCAAACAGCTTATGATTAGGCAAGGAGGACAATTGGGACAAGTCAACGTCATTTCAGCGCCCAAAAGGTGCAAGGACGCCTTGTTGCCTTCAACATCCGGTGTCGTCACCCGTACCGTGGTCCAACCTTATTGCATCGCCACAGAATTGCCAGACAGCGATGGGCAGCAAATGGGGCCAATCTTGGCAACAGGACATAGCCAGATGTCATTTTTTCAGATGAATCCAGGTTTAACTTATCCTTTGCAGATGGACGTCAACAGATTTATCGACGTAGAGGAGAAAGACTTGCGCCAAACTGTGTCCTTGAACATGATCGTTTTGGAGGGGGTGGTGTCATGATCAGACCACAGACCATCAGAGGCTGCAGACCATCCAACAGCTGTTCCTGAGAAATGTGTGTCTTTCAATGCCCCAAAGACTGCGAGCATGTCTTGCAGCGCACGGTGGACACACACGATATTGACTGCAAGTGACCCCTCCTTTGTGTGATGTGGTTGTTGCGTCACTGATGTTGCTGTTGACTGGACATTTTCAGATGAAATTATTCACAGATGTTCACTTAAAACATATCTGCCAGTTAGGTTTATATATGTTGAAATTAGTGTGAGTAAAGAAAGTATGAATGTCAAATTGCATTTTTAATGGCTTTCAGTATATTTTGACCTTGAAAATTGTCGCTATGTCGCGTGTCGCCCTTTGGAGGAATAGAAAAATATTATTCAAAACGCGACACGCGACAATGCGACAAATGGGCGAAATGTCGCGTGGTCGCGTGTCGCGTTTTGGTTTATTTTGCCTCATTTTACTTGTTTTTGAGAGGGCGACAATGCGACAACGGACAATGTCCCTTCTAGGATTCCATATAAAACAGACAAAATGATTTCCCGTCAGCATTTTATTAATTTTATTCTGAACAAGGTGACCTGTACAAAGGGAACTTCTAAATTCTACATTGGTAACCCTTTTCCTTCGGTGTTTGCTTCCAGTCTCAAAACAGAGATGTTTCACCTTATGATTATGAAGATGTGGCTTTCTGCAGCCAATTAGGATCCTTGTTACAAGTTGCTGGCGATGGCGTAGATGGAATCCCACACTTCCTTGCTGCAAGGAGCAATCTCAGAGGCTGGCAGCACGAAGCCCTCCAGACCCCCAGAGGAAGGTCGGAGTTCATAGGTTATCGCGTACTGGATGTTCTCTGTCAAGCGAGCCCAATCGTGGGAACCTCCGTCAGCGTTGTCTGTGGAGAGGACATAACACTGGTTTGTGAGTAATTCAGTTATAACACGTCTATGGAGAGGATATAACACTGATATGTGAGTAATTCAGTTATAACACGTCTATGGAGAGGATATAACACTGATATGTCAGTAATTCAGTTATAACACGTCTGTGGATAGGTCATAATACTGATATGTGAGTAATTCAGTTATAACACGTCTGTGGATAGGTCATAATACTGAAATGTCAGTAATTCAGTTATAACACGTCTGTGGAGCGGACATACAATTGACATGTGAGTAATTCAGTTATAACACGTCTGTGGAGAGGACATAGACTTGACATGTGAGTAATTCATTTAAAACACGTCTGTGGAGAGGACATGGAATTGACATGTGAGTAATTCAGTTATAACACGTCTGTGGAGAGGACATAACACTGATGTGTCAGTAATTCGGTTATAACAAGTCTGTGGAGAGGACATAACACTGATATGTCAGTAATTCAGTTATGACACGTCTGTGGAGAGGACATAACACTGATATGTGAGTAATTCAGTTATAACACGTCTGTGGAGAGGACATAACACTGACATGTCAGTAATTCAGTAATAACACGTCTGTGGATAGGTCATAACACTGATATGTAAGTAATTCAGATATAACACGTTTGTGGAGAGAACATAAAATTGACATGTACGTAATTCAGCTATAACACGTCTGTGGAGAGGACATAACTCTGATATGTGAGTAATTCAGTTATAACACGTCTGTGGAGAGGACATAACACTGATATGTGAGTAATTCAGTTATAACACGTCTATGGAGAGGACATAACACTGATATGTGAGTAATTCAGTTATAACACGTCTGTGGAGAGGACATAACACTGATATGTCAGTAATTCAGTTATAACACGTCTGTGGAGAGGACATAACTCTGATATGTCAGTAATTCAGTTATAACACGTCTGTGGAGAGGACATAACACTGATATGTGAGTAATTCAGGTATAACACGTCTGTGGAGAGGACACAACAGTGATACGTGAGCAATTCAAGTATAATATGTCTATGGAGAGGACATAACACTGATATGTGAGTAATTCAGTTATAACACGTCTGTGGAGAGGACATAACACTGATATGTCAGTAATTCAGTTATAACACGTCTGTGGAGAGGACATAACTCTGATATGTCAGTAATTCAGTTATAACAAGTCTGTGGAGAGGACATAACTTTGATATGTCAGTAATTCAGTTATAACACGTCTGTGGAGAGGACACAACAGTGATACGTGAGCAATTCAAGTATAATATGTCTTTGGAGAGGACATAACACTGATATGTGAGTAATTCAGTTATAACACGTCTGTGGAGAGGACATAACACTGATATGTCAGTAATTCAGTTATAACACGTCTGTGGAGAGGACATAACTCTGATATGTCAGTAATTCAGTTATAACAAGTCTGTGGAGAGGACATAACTTTGATATGTCAGTAATTCAGTTATAACACGTCTGTGGAGAGGACATAACACTGATATGTGAGTAATTCAGTTATAACACGTCTGTGGAGAGGACATAACTCTGATATGTCAGTAATTCAGTTATAACACGTCTGTGGAGAGGACATAACACTGATATGTCAGTAATTCAGGTATAACACGTCTGTGAAGAGGACACAACAGTGATACGTGAGCAATTCAAGTATAATATGTCTATGGAGAGGACATAACTCTGATATGTCAGTAATTCAGTTATAACACGTCTGTGGAGAGAACATAACATTGACATGTGAGTAATTCAGGTATAACACGTCTAGGGAGAGGACATAACACTGATATGTGAGTAATTCAGATATAACACGTTTGTGAGCAATTCTATTTTCAATCTATAGGGCCACGACTGTCATACGTATATCTTAAAGTATGGAAGTTAAAACAATCGTAAAGCTACGATCAGTTGATTTGATCCAATGATTGTTAAAATACCCCGGATATTTTACGATCACTTGCTTCCCAACCGCGACCCCATCCGACTTACACAGAATATCAGCTGGAGTTCCCACACGGTATGATCTTCCGTCAGAGTTCAGAATGGCAGTCCTTGCCTTGTTAGTGATGTCCAGCTGGGGAAAGGCAATGTGCGAGTGAGAGGATAATTGCAACATTGGTCAAACTTTCAAAATGACTGCGTGCGTACGATTTTACGCCGCCCTTGGCAATATTCTAGCACTATCACAACCGGGGACATCGGAAATGGGATTCACGAATTGTACCCTTGTAGGGATTCAAACCCCGGCGTAACGAGCGGACGCTTTAACCACTAGGTTTCCCCAACGTCCCAGTAACCCAACGATGTTTTAGATTGCCTGAGTGAGCTGGCCACGCACGAGAACTTTAACTTTGAAGGTCATGAGCTAATATGACCTGTTATTTCACATGAAAAAGACATGTGATTATCGTTAGTACAGTCCGTTTGGCTCAAAAGCGGACCGATGAATTGCAATCTAACTCGAAAGCTAATAAACATAACATACTCAATGAAACGCTGATCATAATCAAAACATCATACCCACTCTGAGGTTTTTGCAGAATTTTTGTCCTAAAAATAATAAAGTTATTTAACAAACTATCATTAAAATATTGACACAGTTCACTGTTTGTTACGAGGGAGGAGTGCAGAGAAAGGGACAGCCAGGTGTTCGAGAAGCACGTTCACAGACAGTTATTTATTCATTAACCTGTGCTGTGCCGTCTCCATCCGTTCTCGAACACCTGGCTGTCCCTTTCTCTGCACTCCTCCCTCGTAACAAATAGTGAACTGTGTCAATATTTTAATGATAGATTGTTAAACAACTTTTTTATTTTTAAAACAAGAATATTACATTTTCCAATGATGAAAAAATGAGAGTCCTCATATTCCTATGTTATGAAAACAATTACTGTGCAGGTTAAAATAACAAAGTATTTGTCTTGAGGGACCGACTGATGAGCATCGATCTACGCAATTGGGATACGATGACATGTGTCAACCAAGTCAGCGAGTCTGACCACCCGTTAGTCGCCTCTTACGACAAGCATGGGTTTCTGAAGACTAATTCTAACCTGGTCCTATGGAAATGTAGACAAATCTGTTATAGGTTGGAATAATGCTGACTTCAGCTTAACAAATGCCAGCATCTTCATTCTGGATGTCAGCGAGCCTGACCACCCGATCCCGTTAGTCATTTCTGAGGGAGCCAATTATATATGTATAGTGCACAACAGAGGTTGGGACCAGTCGAAAATGTCACCACGTTAAATGGCATATTAGTACAGGGCCTAGATTTTCGAAGCTGTCTTAGCGCTAAGATAGTCGTAAGTTAATGTTAATGTATGGCACTTACGACTATCTTAGCGCTAAGAGAGCTTCGAAAATCAAGGCCCAGAATCTGAATTCTGCTTCCTTTGATATCGACAATTTGAGCCGCGGTGCCGGGAATGGCGAGTGGTAATTTAACGACACGTCTACTGTCACTCGTCACCACTCGACCCTTTCCGTAACCTCCGAGAAGTCGGCTTGCTCCGGAATAACACGAGTTGGTGACGAACGGTCTACTCGATTTCCGGCATTCGTGACCCACTCGTGATATTCCATGACAAACCGTCTTCTTGGAGGTTACGGAATGCATCGGAATAAACCGAGATTATCCGAATGCCAAGTTGTATGTACTCACAATGTCGTTGTAGTTGGAAGGGTACGTGTTCCTTGCGTAGCCGTATGGAGTGAGGAGAAGCTGGGAGAAGGAGTGAATGGAGAGGTAGGCGTGGATTGTTTCTCCACGATTCTGGATCTCCCGAACCTTGTCACGGATGTTCTGACTCTCGTTCTCGGAAAACACCGACGGCCCACGGTACGTGTCGGAAGAGCACGAGCCACTCGACCCGGAACCTGTGAGATAGTGAAGGTTTTAGACCGAAAACCGAATGCGTAAACAAAATAACCTATAGACGGAGACTGTAGCTGGAAGCTGACAAAAAATAGCTTTTAAGATTTCAGTGCATTGTTGATCTGGGCCTAGATTTTCGAAGCTCTCTTGGCACTAAGATAGTCGTAAGTTAATGTTAATGTATGGGACTTACGACTATCTTAGCGCTAAGAGAGCTTCGAAAATCTGGGCCTGATTACATACAAATATTTATCGGGAAGAAATTCAGACAATATTGACAGAACATTGTTCCGCGACATGAGTGAGTGAGTATGGTTTTAGGCCGCTTTTAGCAATATTTCAGCAATACTGCGTCGGTGGACACCACAATGGGCTCCACATATTGTATCCATGTAGGAAATCAAACCCGGGTCTTTGGCGTGACGAGCGAACGCTTTAACCACTCGGCTACCCCAATGCACCCTCTCCGACATGAATACACCAGGTCTGTTAGAATGTGGTCCAATGCAACACATGTTATATTTGGGATTATATTCAACATATGTGGCGTTCTGTGATATGATTCAATGATGTAGGCGTGGTTGCACGGGCTGTGTTATTGTTGTGTGAATCCAAGTGTATGTTTTCTTAATTGGACGTCTGAGCGTATGTCTTTCAAGCCCATTCAAAGTGCATCAGACCCGTAAAGATCCGGGTTAGAATTGATTTCCAGAAACCCATGCTTGTAAGAGGTGACTTGTCTGGTCCAGACTCGTTTATTTACAGACTGCCGCCATACAGCTGGAATATTGCTGAGTGCGGCGTAAAACAGCAAACAGAAACAAACAAAGTGATTCAGATGCAAAAAATACAAAACAGAATGACTACATCATCGTAAAAAGGTCTGGCACATGTACTACTGGGTGTGTGTAATGAAGTCAGACCAGACAACCCAGTGATACGACAATAAACATCAACAAAATGACTGACTGACTGAGTTTGGTTTTACGCCGCTTTTAGCAATATTCCAGCAACATCACGGCGGGGGACACCAGAAATGGGCTTCACACATTGTACCCATGTGGGGATTCGAACCCGGGTCTTCGGCGTGACGAGCCAACGCTTTAACCATTAGGCTACCCCACCGCCCCTCAACAAAATGAGCGAGCCTGTCGATATTCTTAGCCTCGGCCTGTGGTTTTGTTGTTTAACGCCGCACTCGACAATGTGTGGCGGTCTGTAAATAATCTATTCTGGACCAGACATTCCAGTGATCAACAGTATGAGCATCGATCTACACAATTGGGATACGAGGCATGGCCTGACCACCCGATCTCGTTAGTCGCCTCTTACGACAAGCTTGGGTTACTGAAGACCAATCCTAACCCGGATCTTCATGGGTGCCACCTCTGGGACAAGTTGACAGTTACGACAACTCTGATGCAGTAACTCAGCTGTTTGATTACGTTCACTTGATGACTTGATTTGTCGATTTTGTATTTACCTCCCCACATCGACTCGAAGTTCCTGTTGAGGTCCACGCCTCTGCTGCTGCCACACCCGCTCACCGCCCTCCTGTTCTTCCTCCAGTACCGGTACTGGCAACACAGAGTGAGTGAGTGAGTTTAGTTTTACACCGCTTTTAGCAATAGTCATGCAATATCACGGCATGGGAAACCTGAAATGGGCTTCTTACATTGTACCCATGTGGGGAATCGAACCCGGGTCTTCGGCGTGACGAGCGCTTTAACCACTAGGCTACCCCACCGCCCATGAATGTCAAGAGATACAGCTGTAAGGGAGGAAATCAATGTTGTATCTGTTCTGTGCGCTTGTAGTGTGGTGTACACTTACGGAAGTATCCGAGTACACTTACGTGGCAATATGGTGTACACTTACGGAAGTATCCGAGTACACTTACGGGGCAATATGGTGTACACTTACGGAAGTATCCGAGTACACTTACGTGGCAATATGGTGTACACTTACGGAAGTATCCGAGTACACTTACGGGGCAATATGGTGTACACTTACGGAGGTATCTGAGTACACTTACGGAAGTATCTGAGTACACTTACGTGGCAATATGGTGTACACTTACGGAAGTATCTGAGTACACTTACGGGGCAATATGGTGTACACTTACGGAAGTATCCGAGTACACTTACGTGGCAATATGGTGTACACTTACGGAAGTATCTGAGTACACTTACGGGGCAATATGGTGTACACTTACGGAAGTATCCGAGTACACTTACGTGGCAATATGGTGTACACTTACGGAAGTATCTGAGTACACTTACGTGGCAATATGGTGTACACTTACGGAAGTATCTGAGTACACTTACGGGGCAATATGGTGTACACTTACGGAAGAATCTGATTACACTTACGTGGCAATATGGTGTACACTTACGGAAGAATCTGATTACACTTACGTGGCAATATGGTGTACACTTACGGAGGTATGTGAGTACACTTACGAGGTAATATGGTGTACACTTACGGAGGTATGTGAGTACACTTACGGGGTAATACGGTGGACACTTACAGAGGCATGTGAGTACACTTACGGGTTAATATGGTGTACACTTACGGAGGTATGTGAATACACGTACGGGGTAATATGGTGTACACTTACTGAGGTATGTGACTACACTTACGAGGTACTATGGTGTATACTTACGGAGGTATTTGAGTACACTTACGGGGTAATATGGTGTACACTTACGGAGGTATGTGAGTACACTTACGAGGCAATATGGTGTAAACTTACGGAGGTATGTGAGTACACGTACGGGGTAATATGGTGTAAACTTACGGAGGTATGTGAGTATTCATAGCCATCGGGGTTGCTGACGGGGACAATGTACCAGTTGAAGTTGTTGTACAGGTAGTTGGCGTCACTGTCAGATTCACGTCGATGGAGAAGCTGCAAGAGTAAACATGCTGTTGTCATGACCATGTCTACACGTGCATGACAAACTGTTTGAATAAACGCAATGCTGACTTGACTATTCTGCACGTGCATGACAGTCTAGTGTAATGCAGCTTTTGACAAATAAACCTCCTCATCAATATTTGACATAACGAGACATTTCTGTTAAGATATAATTGATGCTACAAAAGTGGCACCATCAGGCTTCCATAGTTATATTTACCCTGTCAATGAAGTACATCGCGGATGAAGGGCTGACCCACTCCCGAGCGTGCATGCCCGCTTCTATGAAGATGCTCTTCTTGTTTGAGCCAGAACCACCAGTAATCTAAAAATCAGGACAGACATAAGCAAGGTGCTTGCAGTGAGTTTTGACGATAAAGGACCGCAAAATTGAAAACAGAGTAGCTTTATCTTCATTTTAGCACGACTGATAAGCGTTTTGAAACCGAACTGTTTGGCGCGCAAGAACACAAGGCGCGAACGGGCCTTTTTCCTGGAAATCGCTGGAAAGGCATTTTCAACAACATAAATGCTATATTTCAGGAACCAGTATGATTGTATCTGTAACAAGTAGCATACATAAATAAAGAAAATACAGTTTATACTGTGACCAAGTACAATTATTTGATTTTTCTGGAGCGAATTATTGATCTCCCCTACTGTATGACAATCGACTCGCCCAAATTCAAGCCGTTAACTCGCTAAGTTTAGTCGCCGCTAACTTTATTCACGGAAATAATTGTTGACAACAACCCCACTATTCCCAATTTGGAAAAGACCTGACAGGGATACATGGACAGTGGAAGTGGAAGGACTGGGCATGGGACTGGGACGGAAGTGGTCAGGTTAGGACGTGTGGGCCGACGTGTGTTGTCGACGTCGACACACGTAGATCTGGACCCGGTTTGAATATGCTGACGCTTTTGCGCTGCTGACGGATTTTCCAGCTTCGTAGTTTCTTCACTGGGATTAGGGTTAATAAATTCTTCTTCAATCCATTCGCTTTTTACTTCAAAAACATCAAAGATGCTGCCGAGATAGAAATTGCCGATGTCCGACATGTTTGGTTACAGGGTCAACGAGTTCGTTGTATTCATACGCGGTGAATCGGTCACTTTAATTAGCGGTCTTAAACTGCCATTTAAGTACGGTTTTGATGAGCTCTCAGCCAGTCAGAATCGAGTATCACACACAATGTCGCGCTAGAATTCATTATCTGAAGTAATCACAAATTAGTCCACCGAAAACATGTGAATGTTATTTTTTAAAAAAACAGATAATGAAGGCTTGACTCCTACCTCAACGAATGGCATAGTCCGTCCTTCGTATGTTTGTCTGCTGAGGTAGGACTTGCTCACCCCGCTGAAGGAGCCGAAGTTTGTCGTGTAGGAGTCGATCTGTCAAAACACAACAACACATCAATAATAATAATAATAATTAGTCCATTTATATTGAGCTAAATCCACACCGACAGCATGTTCATATATCAGACAGGTCATTATTACTCCGGATAACCCAAGCTGCCTCTGAGGCGCGGGATGGGTATAGTCACATGACTAATCCCACATGGTACCCATTTTCTGCTGGGTGAATAGAGGCAATTTTGAACAAGCTCACTTGCCCAAGGTGAGACCACACGTATCACATGTGCTTCGTTGTGCGCCAGGACTGAAGTCTAAGAAAATCTCAGGAGTCTAGCTGCCAAACACTGTCACCCATCCAAGTACTCTCCGCGCCCAACGTTGCTAAACTTCAACTGATTTGTGACCTGAGCTCTATGCACAGGATCACACACCACCAATAGACCCATTCAATTAAAAGTTCATACGAGAAATTGTTTGCTTCACTTGTTTGCAACCCAGCTTATAGTGCCAGTGTTAGCATTCTACAGCCAAGCCATGACGGCATCCAGAATGAATGAACGAGTTAGAGTCTTACGCCGCTTTTAGCAATATTCCAGCAATAGAAATGGGACGCCAGAAATGGGCTTCAAGAAGGGAACCCAGAAGTCAGCATTATTCCAGCTTATAACAGATTTGTCTACGGGGCTCGAATTCGGTAACTAACTAACCACTGGATGCTTTCTCAGGATCTCAAAGTGTCCGCCCTTGATCTAAAATAGCCAAGGCTCGAATTTCGGTGCACCTTTACTTCCACTTGGATCTCAAACTGGCCACCCTTCTTTTTAATTAGTTTGATTTTCAGCCCTATTAACTGAACTGACCAATGTGGATGCAAGTTACAAAGCAGTTCCAATCTTGGGCTGGCGACATGGACAACGTGACAGCAAGTACCATGGGTTATGATCTGTGATAAGCAAAGACATCGTTTACCTTGAAACCTTAATCACGTTTTTTACCAACGCCGTCGTGTTTTCATTGAAACGCTGTTTGTTGTCATAAACATCAGGTTTATTGAACGCTATTGTCACCAACGCCTTTGGTTACGTTGACGCGTGACTAACATTTAGCACCAGCGACAGTTACCTTCAAACTTAATTGGCGTTTTTCACCAAAACCATTGGGTTTTCATTGAGATGATACTAATATCAGTCCCGGATTAGGTTACGTTGAAATTTTATCAGCATTTTTCACCAACGACATCAGGTTGTTACTGAAGATGGCTCCACAAGAGGTGAGGTGAGGTGAAATTGGGTTTAACGTCGTGCTTGAGAATATTTCGCTCATATGACGACGTGCATGCGTGTGTATGTGTATGTGCGGCTGCTTGTACTAGCCTAGACTTAAGCTGGTTTTATAGTGCTAGCCCACTGAGATACCATGCCGCAGTGAAGCATGAATACGCCACTCAGACACATTATACTGACTCCGAGCCGACCAGTCCTTGTTGTACCATTAATGCCGAGCGCCAGGCAGGGACCAACAAGTACCATATTTTAACGTCTTTTGGTATGACGCGGCCGGGGATCGAACCCGCGACCTTCCACTCTCCGGGCGGACGCTCTAACCACTACACCATGGAGGCGATCTGGCTCTACATGAGTAGTCCAGGGATATTAAACCGGTATAGGACCGGGCATGGACAACGAGACACATGCACATCTGTATGCACGTCGCCATATTTGTTTGTTTTGTTTTTCACGCCGCACTCAGCAATATTCCAGCTATATGCCGGCGGATTGAAAATAATCGAGTCTATACTACCTAATCCAGTGATTGAGTGAGTTTAGTTTTACGCCGCACTCAGCAATATTCCAGCTATATGGCGGCGGATTGAAAATAATCGAGTCTGGACCAGACAGTCCAGTGATCAACAGCATGAGCATCGATCTGCGCAATTAGGAACCGATGACATGTGTCAACCAGGTCAGCGAGCCTGACCTCCCGATCCCGTTAGTCGCCTCTTACGACAAGCATGGGTTACTGAAGATCAATATTCTAACCCGGACATTCACGGGTAGACAATCCAGTGATAAACAGCATGAGCATCGATCTAAGCTTTTTGGATACGATGACATGTGTCAACCAAGTCAGCGAGCCTGACCACCCGATCCCGTTAGTCGTATCTTATAAGCATGGGTTAATGAAGACCGCGTGTCGCCGTAATAACATGATGGTTTTAATGGAAGCCCCATTTCTCCTGATCCAAACTTACGTTGCTCAGCCTGTAGTAGGCATTGTGCCTCAACACTCCCTCGATGAAATCGGCGTACTGGACAGGTTCGGATGGCATAGCGTACACGGCGTCGTTCAACCTGTGAGTGAGTGAGTGAGTGAGTGAGTGAGTGAGTGAGTTTAGTTTTACGCCGCACTCAGCAATTTTCCAGCTATATGGCGGCGGATTGAAAATAATCGAGTCTATACTACACAATCCAGTGGGTGAGTGAGTTTAGTTTTATGCCGCTCTCAGCATATATTCCAGTTATATGGCAGCGGTCTGTAAATAATCGAGTCTTGATCAGACAATCCAGTGATCAACAGCATGAGCATCGATCTGTGCAATTGGGAACCAATGACATGTGCCAACCAGGTCAGCGAGCCTGACCACCCGATCCCGTTAGTCGCCTCTTACGACAAGCATAGTCGCCTTTTGTGGCAAGCATGGGTTGCTGAAGACCTATTCTGACCCGGATCTTCACGGGTCTCGTTCAACCTGTAGTAGTAGGAGACGTATGTCACGTCGGTGCAGGGAAGCAGAGTGAGTGAGTATGGTTTCACGCTGCTTTTAGCGATATCCCAGCAATAGCACGGCGGGGGCACCAGAAATTTGCTTCACTCATTGTACCCATGTGGGGAATCGAACTCGGGTCTTCGGCGTGAAGCCCCCAGGTAAACAGAAATAAACTAGTCAACTTTTGGACATCGAGTTTGAGTGAACGTAGTTTTACGCCGCTGTCAGCAATATTGCAGCAACATCACAGCGCGTGACACCAGAAATAGGTATCGCACAGTGCTTCGATATATTGGGAATCGGAACTCAATCTTTGCTAACGCTTTAGACAAAAAGAGCTGGCAAATTAAGAAAATGGGCACAGAACTTTGAACTGGTAATAGACGTTGTGAGAAGGTTTCTCCCGACATAAACCTCCGGGAAAGGATACATGACACATTTGCCATAGATTGCTGTTTAACGCCTCGCTCGGCAACATTACAGCTACGTGGCGGTTGTTTGTACATAATCGAGTCTGGATCAGACAATCCAGTGATCAAAAGCATAAACATCGATCTACGCAACCAGGATGTGATGACATGTGTCAACCAAGTCAGCGAGCCTGCAACCACCCGATCCCGTTAGTCGCCTCTTACGACAAGCATGGGTTAATGAAGATCAGTTCTAACCCGGATCTTCACGGTTTGGTACCCTGTATGGGATCCACCTACTGCTTCAGATTGTGAGTTCTGATCTTGGCGCTGACTCCAGACTTCTGCATCAACTCCATGAACAGGTCAATGGACTCGGGAGGCACTCTGAGTCGCCCTGTGTTCTCCAGCGTTGGGTGCAGCCAGATGTCAAGCTGCAAAGCGGAATATCAGAATATTTGCTTGTTTTGATTATGAAACTCTGCGATGTCCTGATGGGGTGTTGTAATTGAGTGAGTGAGTTTAGTTTTACGCCGCCAAATTTATGTTCAGCTGATATGAGGGTTGCTGGCTGTTTTGTTGGTTGGTAGGTCGGTTGGTTGGTTGTTTAACGCCGCACTCAGCAATATTCCAACTATAAGGCGGCAATCTCTAAATAATCGCGTCAGGACCTGACAATCCAGTGATCAACAACATGAGCATCGATCTACGCAATTGGGATACGATGACATATGTCAACCAAGTCAGCGATCCCGTTAGTCGTCTTTTATGACAAGCATGGGTTAACAGGGTTGTGTTCGTAGAGTGTCGCCCTGAGCTGTCCTCGTGTGGGAGGTAGTGTCAATATGTCAATGGATGAAAGTGGTTAGCATAACTGGGTTTCGGGGAGGTAGTGTCATTATGTCAATGGATGAAAGTGGTAACCATAACTGGGTTTCGGGGAGGTAGTGTCATTATGTCAATGGATGAAAGTGGTAACCATAACTGGGTTTCGGGGAGGTAGTGTTATTATGTCAATGGATGAAAGTGGTAACCATAACTGGGTTTCGAAAATTCGCTCTTTATTGTTTGATTCTGGTTTCTCATTCGTATAGTTTTCCGAGATGTTGGGAATGAAAAACTATTCATACATAATGTACAACAACGTTTCTTTGATATATGTGAACAGGATTGGCATAATGATATTTCTTCATCCAAATATCTGTCAGTTTATGCAAGTGTTAAATCTGTGTTATAACCAGAGTACTACCTGTTAAACATAAGTGATAAGTCTTTAAGAAGAAGTTTATGTAAATTCAGAATTTCATTACATGAACCATTCTCTTTCCACAGAGGAATCATATCTTCCTACGAACCTCTGTTCTAATACGGCCATATGTCCCGGTTCTCGTATGATCCCCTAGAGGCAAAAAATCGCAACGCGAATTATCTCCCTTCTTTCTCTCCAATCAGAACACGTGTTACATCGACTTAGATCCAACTTGACTAACATAAGCAAATATGGGGCCACAAATATCACTCCTCTGCCGGGGACTTCTGTTGATGAGACACACAAGACATTTAATGGCTATCTTGTCCGTTGTCAACGAGTGAGTGAGTGAGTGAGTGAGTGAGTTTGGTTTTACGCCGCTTTTAGCAATATTCCAGCAATATCACGGTGGGGGACACCAGAAATGAGCTTCACACAATGTACCCATGTGGGGATTCGAACCCGGGTCTTCGGCATGACGAGCGAACGCTTTAACCACTAGGCTACCCCACCGCTCCCCGTTGTCAACGAGGGCGATGGAGACGCCTTTGATCCGCCATAACATGACCGAGTTCTGTCTAGAAGAACCGTTTGCGCATCGCACAGGGGAAGAGGTTATTAGTTTTCCCGAAGCATACGGAAATTACCGAGGCCTTGCGAATGATCACTTTTGAAACAACGTCGCTGATTGCACAACTAAATCTGATTGCAACCAATCACGAATCCTGAACTCTCGCACCATGAAAGGGCCGTATTAGAACAGAGGTTCGTAGGAAGGTATGACAAGTAACCTCTGTGGGAAAAGAATGTGTAAAACCATACTCACTCACTCACCTACCACATATTATACACTTGCATGGGCTGAATTAGATATATTTCTGTCCTCACTGTCTTTTAGTAAATATACCACCTCAGTGGTGTAGTGGTTAGAGCGTCCACCCGGAGAGCAGAAGGTCACGGGTTCGATCCCCGACCACGTCATACCAAAAGACGTTAAAATATGGTACTTGTTGGTCCCTGCCTGGCGCTCGGCATGAAGGGGTACAACAAGAAAAAGAATGTGCATGAACATGTTTTAAAGATAAATGGATATCGTAGATTAAAACCATGTGACGGCAATAATGTGCATATAGTATGTAAATATTGTGATTTACTTGAAATTGAAGATCAGTACCAAGTATATTTTGCCCATAGTATACTCATCTCTGGGAGAAGTTTCTACCATGTCTGTATAATGTACAACCCTGTAAGCAAATTTTATTATCAATTTTGAACTCCACAAATATAAACACCACTGAATTTGTTGCCCTGTACTTGAAACATGTCTTCCTCATACATAATTCCTGTAAATCACGTGACTAAGTGATTAAAAATGTTATTGTAATTGTACAATAATCCATTTGGCCCATAATGCCGAAATAAAGAATCTGGAATCTAGTGTCATTATGAGGTTTAAACTGATGTTGAGTTGTGGTACGTACGTGTGTTATCAACGTATAGGAAACTGATGCTGACTTTCGGTTATATGAGCGTTGTGTTCATGCCAAATCGTACATGAGTGAGTGAGTGAGTTTAGTTGTACGCCGCATTGATAGGCAGCCCAAGTAAAAACACCCAAAAACATAATTTAAAAAAATACCCCAAAATATCATTTCTGTATCTATTCCTCCCGTCACATCCCTGTACATCGGATGCTTAACAAGGGTGTTAAAACCTATACGTCGTTTCTGGTTGTAATAAAGAGTGAGTTTAGTGTTACGCCGCACTCAGCAATATTCCAGCTATATAGCGGCGGTCTGTAAATAATCGAGTCTGGACCAGACAATCCAGTGATCAACAGCATGGGCATCGATCTGCGAAACTGGGAACCGATGACATTTGTTAACCAAGTCAGCGAGCCTGACCACCCGATCCCGTTAGTCGCCTCTTACGACAAGCATGGGTATCTGAAGATCAATATTCTAAACGGATCAAATCGTACATGCGTTATAACCGTCGTGAAGATGGGATTAAAGAAGAACGACATGGGTGTATACCATTACCATCTACATCAGCAACGACGTCGACGTATGTTTCTTACCCCCATGTTTCCAACGTTGGCGAGGTCGTTGATGTAGTTCTGCTGTTCGACATTGGTGATGTTCACGTCCACGAGGCGATGGCTGCAAGTGGAAGAAAATGCTCAAACTGAAATTCTATCTTACCCCATGCATCTTGGACTTGGAATTTAGAAATATCCATCATCGCTTCTATTTGTGTATCGCAGACAGATCGTCGTTTTACACATAATATTACAGCCCAAATAGGATTCCTCTGGCAGTGTATCATTTCCCCCCGATATTCATTCCAAAAACTCGAACCATTCTCATTTATTCAACGTTACATTTACTGAACAAAACATCTTTCTTCCAGTACGACGATAACATATCCCGCGGGTGCGTGCGTTCGTTTGCTATTCCAGGTATATCACGACGGAGTGGATGAGTGCATGAGTGAGTGAGTGAGTGAGTGAGTGAGTGCATGAGTGAGTCAGTCAGTTTGTGAGTTGTGAGCCGCTTGAAGCACTATTCCAGCAAAATTACGAAATTGAGAAATTGGTTTCATACATTAGATGCCGGATTTTCGTCATGCCAGGCTTTACCAAACTAGATTGCTTTACCGCCCCGTATATTTTAACAGAAGAATTATAAACCCAACATACATTCTTCAAACGAAGTTAAGCAACAAAAATAAAGTCTGACATGGTAATTGTATAATTTTATACAGCATTTTCTGCACGATTATATTCCCATGGTTGCATATCAGGTATACGTATTTCATCGGTTAATCCGTTTTATTTAACCCAACATACATTCTTCAAACGAAGTTAAGCAACAAAAATAAAATCTGACATGGTAATTGTATAATTTTATACAGCATTTATATTCCCATGGTTGCATATCAGGTACACGTATTTCATCGGTTAATTAGAGAATAACCAACGATGAGGTACGAGTGATTACGGGAAATATGCCCGAGTTGAAATAATGTTCACAGTGCCGAGCCTTGGCGAGGCACTGAACATTATTTTAACGAGGGCATATTTCCCGTAATCACTCGTACCTCGTTGGTTATTCTATTTATTACCCATAATGTAATTTAAAAGGAAGAACCACGAAATAAAAACCACCCGGAGACAGGACTTGTGACCTTAAACAGCTGATTCGTATTCATGCGCGTATTAAACCTAACTTCTCCAGCGGTAATAACATAACTACGCTATGGAAATAGTACATCATAAAATCGCTTTAAAATACAACAAAATTATTATGCCTGGAATAATTAATTAACATTTGTTAATATGATAAAAATGATCTTTTAAATGTATCATGAACTTAATAAGAGCTAAACATTTATTCGATCAAGTCAGTGCGACGGAACATCGTTCATTCACGACTGACGTGTTTTCTAGTGACGGGTGACGTTGTAGTGTTGAAACACACTCTGGCAAAAACCTGTCAATTTTTGGGAAAGTCAACGGTTAAAAGTCGGGAAATCTAAAAGACAACCATCCAACGAATACATCTAGAAAAAGTTTTCTGTCAAGAAACTCAACAAGTTTGAAGATTAAACAACATTTTGTTCTGTGGAAGGCGTGTTACACTCTCGTCTTAGTGGAGTACAGCAGTTCCAAGAAGGATAACTCTAGTCGGAATCAGAGTCTATGAAATGTGTCAATCTCTGCATCGGCTACTGGGACCAACCTCTCGGATTGATTAGGAATGCATGGATATAAAAAGTCATCTTGAAGAAGAACATTTAGCACTGATTCCGGTAAGAAAGGAGCTGTTTTATGGTTCGATGGCATGGACTCCGTGTCCGACTTACTTGTTACACTTTCAGATAACATCTTTAGTCGGGATCTTGCTGTTTCTATTTCCCCGAATTCAGTTTCAACAACAAACAGGGTTTGGGAATTCAAGGGCTGTAAAATTCTTATCACTCTTCCTATTTGGTCACCGTCAACTTTAACTAGGTAAGTGACCTTGATCGGGGTTAGCCTAACGGCGGCCATGTTTGTTTACAAACAATGCAAACGATTGTTTTGGTGGTTTAAGATTATATAATTTAAAAAGACTACTATTTATGACGCAGTTTTATTCCAATGTAATAACGTCTAATAAAAATAATATTCATATTCTTTAACCAAAATGTTTTCTTTTTTAGATCTCGGAATGTGTGATTACATTACTTACTGTCAATTTATCAATGAATCGATGAAACTTTATGAATGAACGTAGTGTGTGAAAGTAGTTCCGGCATCCAATGAAAATGTACAAATATACGATCAACCAATCAACGTCGAGAATCACTAAATTGCACACTGTGCAAATATCAAAAAGATATTACACGGGATCTCCTCACCCGTATGGGTAATAATCCGTTTTATTTAACCCAACATACATTCTTCAAATGAAGTTAAGCAACAAAAATAAAGTCTGACATGGTAATTGTATAATTTTATACAGCATTTTCTGCACGATTATATTCCCATGGTTGCGTATTTCATCGGTTAATCCGTTTTATTTAACCCAACATACATTCTTCAAACGAAGTTAAGCAACAAAAATAAAGTCTGACATGGTAATTGTATAATTTTATACAGCATTTATATTTCCATGGTTGCATATCAGGTACACGTATTTCATCGGTTAATCCGTTTTATTCTGATTTATTCTTGGCCCTTTGTTTGCGTAGGAGTAAACAATAGTTACGTCATTTCCTGTATCAGTTTCCATTACAAGTTTGCTATTTAATAAGCCATGATTAATGAACAAAGTTATATATACTACACATCAAACGTTTAGACTCACTCACTCACTATATAGTATGTACACATATATGGTTGCATCGGAGATGAATTTCTCAACTAACTTGGGGGAACCAACTGCAAACTTTAAGCAGATGAACTGCACGAGGATCATGCATCAAACTGCTGAAAAGCATGTGCAAATATCGTGCCATGTGAACAGCTGCGTTTTGGTGTAAAAGTTTTGTTAAGAATTCGCCAATTTTTACTCAGTTTCATCATCTATTGAATTCGTGACAATAAACTTTTCAACGTTACGAATCTGTTTCGCAATACATCAGTTAATGTATAAACAGTAGATTCAAACAATATGGAATATTTTGCAAAATCTAATTTAGAACAGTTGACTGAAGTACGTGACTACACTATTAATACACAAGTGAGTCTAAACTTTTGATGGGTAGTATAGTTATATGCAATAACTGACAGGTGCTTTTTGATGTAAAAAGTTAGAACTTTACAGATATCGTTTATCTAACAACTGAATAATCTTAACAGTAGTACTCCACGTAAACGTTCTGACAATATCTGTTCATCAAAGCACTGGGGCGGCGTGGTAGCCTAGTGGCCAAAGCGTTCGCCCGTCACGCCACAGACCCAGGTTCGATTCCCTATATGGGTACCATATGTGAACTCCATTTCTGGTGTCCCCCGCCGTGATATTGCTAGAATATTGCTAAAAGCGGTGTAAGACGAAACTCACTCACTCACTCATCAAAGCATGACCTAAATAAACTCACAAATCTAATGTTGCTACATATGTATCACAACACTGAATATATGAACTTCCTCCTTCGTGAGTAATATTTTGAAGGACATTTAGAAAGTTAACGCTTCGTTTTCCCTCGTGAAGGTCACATACAGACAGGACATGGTATTCATGTTCAATATTTTCACTATTACAAAATTAATGTTCAAAGTTTGTAATTTACGTTTAAAAGGAAAGATTATTACAAAACATCATAATAGCAGGATGGAGACTATGGTAACGACTTCTAATGCTCCTTATGTTTACACATGGTAAGTATTTCACATCTTAAATTTTGTTTAAAAGGCATGTACTTTTACCATTCATTAAATTTTCACTCCAGTTTTCTTTGTAGCAATCTTTGTCCCCACAAGAGATAAAACAAGTAATGTAGACAATGTCTGATGTCATTTTATACCCTGTACTATATCAAAATCAAATCTGAGGAATAGGTGATTAAAAAAAATGGTTCTTACTTCAAGAATGTTTCCGCTCCCTGTTCGTCGAGTCTGCCGCTAGGAAGCCCTAGGGCCAGTCCACAAAGGGCAAGAAGAACGAGATACTTCATGGCGGTACTGTGAGCAATCACCTACCAACAACGGGGGTGGTAGGAGCTCCACATTTATACCTTGTCTGACGCCGTGTGCAAAAGTCAAATAGTCTGTTCACCTTGAAATAAAAGAGATAGGTCATATTGAAAAGCGGTCAAGATTTGGCAATGATCTTTGTTTGTCTGAATTGAAACTTTGTCTCTCACAATGGACGTTTACAGTATCATATACTATCCATCAAGCGTTTAGACTCACTTAAAGCACTCACTATATGTTATGTAGAAAAATATGGTTACATCGAAGGCGATTTCCTCCTCTAACTTGTGGTAACCAACTGCAAACCTTATGCAAATGAATTGCACGAGGATCATGCATCAAATTGTTGAAAAGCATGTGCAAACATAGTGCATGTGAACAGCTGCGTTTTGGTGTAAAGTTTTGTTAAGAATTCGCTAATTTTCACTGAATTTCATCATTTATTGAACTCATGACAATGATCTTTCAACGTTACGAATTTGCTTAACAATACACCAGTTCATGTGTAAACTGTTTTTAAACAGCATGGATTATTTTGCGACATCTAGTTTAGAACAGTTTTACGCAGCACTCAGCAATGTTCCAGCTATATGGCGGCGGTCTGGAAATAATCGAGTCTGAACCAGATAATCCAGTGATCAACAACATGAGCATCGATCGACGTAATTGGGAACCGATGACATGTGTTAACCAAGTCAGCAAGCCTGACCACCCGATCCCGTTAGTTGCCTCTTACGACAAGCATGGGTTACTGAAGATCAATATTCTAACCCGGACCTTCACGGGTTTGACTGAAGTACGTGGCTACATTTACACCAGCGAGCCTAAACTTTTGATGGGTAGTATATATCATTTCGGTTTGTCTTGAAGAATGAAGTACAATTACAGGGTGCTGTTTGTCGAGGTACATATCGTTTGTGGAACTGAATTTATCATCGACATTTGTTAAATGTTGTTTATCACGAGGCTGACAATATTTCCTGACACAAAAGAGACTTCCACAAGGTATTACAACGAGCCATATTCATGATGTGCTTTGTTAGACACATTCCTGCGGCAGACATTGCATCCCAGTTGCGTAGATCGATACTCATGATGTCGGTCACTGGATTGTCTGGTCCGGGCTCGATGGTGTACAGACCGCCGTCATATAGCTGGAATATTGCTGAGTGTGGCGTGAAACAACAAACCGACAAACCTTGTAATTGTCACCCAAATTAACGAGGAACTGACGAACAGTGTGCGCTATGCGGGAGTCGAATTATCGGTCCAGGCTAATGTAGATCAGACTGATTACCGGGGACCACACTAACGAGGTCCTGACCAACAGGATCCAGATTACCGGGGACCACTAACGAGGTCCTGACCAACAGGATCCAGATTACCGGGGATCACACTAACGAGGTCCTGACCAACAGGATCCAGATTACCGGGGGTCACCTAACGAGGTCCTGACCAAAAGGATCCAGATTACCGGGGTCCACACTAACGAAGTCCTGACCAACGGGATCCAGATTACCGGGGATCATCACTAACGAGGTCCTCACCAAAAGGATCCAGATTACCGGGGTGGATCACACTAACGAAGTCCTGACCAACAGGATCCAGATTACCGGGGATCACCCTAACGAGGTCCTGACCAAAGGATCCAGATTACCGGGGTCACACTAACGAGGTCCTGACCAACAGGATCCAGATTACCGGGGTCTACACTAACGAGGTCCTCACCAACGGGATCCAGATTACCGGGGTCTACACCAACGAAGGTCCTGACCAACGGGATCCAGATTACCGGGGTCCTACACTAACGAGGTCCTCACCAACGGGATCCAGATTACTGGGGTCTACACTAACGAGGTCCTGACCAACGGGATCCAGACGACCGGGGTCTACACTAACGAGGTCCTGACCAACGGGATCCAGATGATCGGGGTCTACACTAAGGGTTCGAAATTAACGTCGGTACTTATGCCCGAAGCCAACTGAAAACTACTCGGACCCACATCTTTTGTTTTCTGCGGGTCTTTATGACCGACAGCTTTTTCATCCGCAATAACGAAATGCAATATTTTTCAGAAAAGACCATTCAGTAATTTCTAGTTTTTATCTCGATCAGTCAGAAACGACTATCATTTTCGAGGATGCAATTTAGATTAGTGAGACATGATCTTTTAACTTGGAATAAGTTATCCGAATGCATTGCAAAGACTAGTAAGTCACTAGAGTTAAATTAAACTGTTTAACTCAGTTTGTTAGTTGTCACATTTTTTGTTTGCTGGCAATTACTTATATTGTAGCTAAAATATAGAGCCTAGACATTCTGATCAGGACCCAGTACTTTATATGGTTCTGGGTCCTTAGGGCCTGCACCTTTTCAGGGTTAAGGGCAAACAATGTCTACACTAACTAGGTCCGAACCAAAGGGATCCAGATTACCGGGGAAACACTAACGAGGTCCTGACCAACAAAATCCAGATTACCGGGGTCCACACTAACGAGGTCCTGACTAACCGGGTGCAGATTACTGGGGTCTACACACTAACGAGGTCTGGACCACCAGAATCCAGATTACCGGGGTCTACACTAACGAGGTCGTGACCAACAGGATGCATATTACAGGGGTCTACACTAACCAGGTCCTCACCAACATGATCCAGATTACAGGGGTCTACACTAATGAGGTCGTGACCAACAGAATCCAGATTACAGGGGTCTACACTAACCAGGTCCTGACCAACAGGAGTCCAGATTACAGGGGTCTACACTAACGAGGTCGTGAGCAACAGACTCCAGATCACCGGGGTCTACACTAACCAGGTCCTCACACGTCACCAACGGGATCCAGGTTACCGGGGTCTACACTAACGAGGTCGTGACCAACAGAATCCAGATTACCGGAGTCTACACTAGCCAGGTCCTGACCAACAGGGTCCAGATTACAGGGGTCACACTAACCAGGTCCTGACCAACATGATCCAGATTACCGGGGTCTACACCAACGAAGTCCTGACCAACATGATCCAGATTACCGGGGTATACACTAACGAAGTCCTGACCAACAGGATCCAGATTACCGGGGTCTACACCAACGAAGTCCTGACCAACATGATCCAGATTACCGGGGTCTACACCAACGAAGTCCTGACCAACATGATCCAGATTACCGGGGTCTACACCAACGAAGTCCTGACCAACATGATCCAGATTACCGGGGTCTACACCAACGAAGTCCTGACCAACATGATCCAGATTACCGGGGTCTACACTAACGAGGTCCTGACCAACATGATCCAGATTACTGGGGTCTACACCAACGAAGTCCTGACCAACATGATCCAGATTACCGGGTTCTACACTAACGAAGTCCTGACCAACATGATCCAGATTACAGGGGTCTACACCAACGAAGTCCTGACCAACATGATCCAGATTACCGGGTCTACACCAACGAAGTCCTGACCAACATGATCCAGATTACCGGGGTCTACACCAACGAAGTCCTGACCAACATGATCCAGATTACCGGGGTCTACACCAACGAAGTCCTGACCAACATGATCCAGATTACCGGGGTCTACACCAACGAAGTCCTGACCAACATGATCCAGATTACCGGGGTCTACACTAACGAAGTCCTGACCAACATGATCCAGATTACCGGGGTCTACACTAACGAAGTCCTGACCAACATGATCCAGATTACTGGGGTCTACACCAACGAAGTCCTGACCATATGGATACAGATTACCGGGGTCTACACCAACGAAGTCCTGACCATAAGGATACAGATTACCGGGGTCTACACTAACGAAGTCCTGACCAACGGGATCCAGATTACCGGGATCTACACCAGCGAAGTCCTGACCAACATGATCCAGATTACCGGGGTTCACACTAACGAGGTCCTGACCAAAAGAATCCAGATTACCGGGGTCTACACTAACGAGGTCCTGACCAACAGAATCCAGATTACCGGGGTCTACACTAACGAGGTCCTGACCAACATGATCCAGATTACTGGGTTCACACTAACGAGGTCCTGACCATAAGGATCCAGATTACCGGGGTCTACACTAACGAGGTCCTGACCAACAGGATCCAGATTACAGGGGTCTACACTAACCAGGTCCTCACCAACATGATCCAGATTACCGGGGTCTACACTAACGAGGTCCTGACCAACAGGATCCAGATTACCGGGGTCTACACTAACGAGGTCCTCACCAACAGGATCCAGATTACCGGGGTCTACACTAACGAGGTCCTGACCAACGGAATCCAGATTACCGGGGTCTACACTAACGAGGTCCTGACCAACATGATCCAGATTACCGGGGTCTACACTAACGAAGTCCTGACCAACAGGATCCAGATTACTAGGGTCTCACACTCAACGAGGTCCTGACCAACATGATCCAGATTACCGGGTTTCACACTAACGAAGTCCTGACCAACATGATCCAGATTACCGGGGTTCACACTAACGAGGTCCTGACCAACAGAATCCAGATTACCGGGATCTACACCAGCGAAGTCCTGACCAACATGATCCAGATTACCGGGGTTCACACTAACGAGGTCCTGACCAAAGGATCCAGATTACCGGGGTCTACACTAACGAAGTCCTGACCAAAAGAATCCAGATTACCGGGGTCTACACTAACGAGGTCCTGACCAACATGATCCAGATTACCGGGGTTCACACTAACGAGGTCCTGACCAACAGGATCCAGATTACCGGGGTCTACACTAACGAAGTCCTGACCAACATGATCCAGATTACCGGGTCTACACTAACGAGGTCCTGACCAACAGATTCCAGACCAGCGAGTCCTACCAACGGGATCTAGATTACCGGGGTCACACCAACGAAGTCCTGACCAACATGATCCAGATTACCGGGGTTCACACTAACGAGGTCCTGACCAAAAGAATCCAGATTACCGGGGTCTACACTAACGAGGTCCTGACCAAAAGAATCCAGATTACCGGGGTCTACACTAACGAGGTCCTGACCAACATGATCCAGATTACCGGGGTTCACACTAACGAGGTCCTGACCAACAGGATCCAGATTACCGGGGTCTACACTAACGAGGTCCTGACCAACATGATCCAGATTACCGGGGTCTACACCAGCGAAGTCCTGACCAACAGGATCCAGATTACCGGGGTCTACACTAACGAGGTCCTGACCAAAAGAATCCAGATTACAGGGGTCTACACTAACGAGGTCCTGACCAAAAGAATCCAGATTACCGGGGTCTACACTAACGAGGTCCTGACCAAATGATCCAGATTACAGGGGTCTACACTAACGAGGTCCTGACCAACATGATCCAGATTGCCGGGGTCTACACTAACGAGGTCCTGACTAACAGGATCCAGATTACCGCGGTTCACACTAACGAGGTCCTGACCAACGGAATCCAGATTACCGGGATCTACACCATCGAAGTCCTGACCAACATGATCCAGATTACCGGGGTTCACACTAACGAGGTCCTCACCAGCAGGATCCAGATTACCGGGGTCTACACTAACGAAGTCCCGACCAAAAGAATCCAGATTACCGGTATCTACACTAACGAGGTCCTGACCAACAGGATCCAGATTACCAGGGGCCACACCAACGAGGTTACAGTTAATAACATATGTGCACTGCACGGTTAACCTTTGACAGGTATGCCAAATGTGACACGTCGCGTGACCTCAAGATTTCCACTCACGGTCAAGCACGCCAACTGTATGCTATTTATATGTTGTTTATACATGTCATTAACGACCACAAATCACACACACACCACGATGCTGAACGCTACGACCATAATAAGGCCATGCTGAAGTACGTAGAAAAATTTGGACTGGAATATGGACGTGACCTTTTTCAAGTATTTCACTAGGTCGTGTATCAAGTGGATTATAATGACATGTTTCGACTGCCTACTTTTCACATTACAAAGTGAGTTGGTATATGTGATTAATTTTACGCTGGTTTTAATGCATCATGACAATATTATGTCAAAAGACACCATACATTAGAGGGAATGGAACGCCGCACTCATAATGTACCAGCTCGGAATAGCATGTGCATGTCTTATCTTAGGGGGGCGGTGGGGTAGCCTAGTGGTTAAAGCGTTGGCTCGTCACGCCGAAGACTCGGGTTCGATTTCCCACATGGGCACAATGTGTTAAGCCCATTTCTGGTGTCCCCCGCCGTGATATTGCTGGAATATTGCTAAAAGCGGCGTAAAACTAAACTCAGTCGGTCAGTCAGTCTTATCTTAGGTTTAGACACATATAATGCAAGACGGTTTCAGCAACACAATCCTTTCGTAATCAGTATTTATTATTGCTTTTCAGTTGTGTCGAACTTCGGATAAGTTGAAATATTCACTTCAAGTTCGACATAAGGTGTTTAACTGTATGCGAAAATATGGGTTAAATTTCAAATTGTCATGAGAATAAGATCTGTTAAAAATCTATTCATAAACTTGACGTTACACACCTGGAGCTATGGATTACTTTCCAAAAAGAACGTAAATGTGAAAAGAGTTTTACAGTGATATATAAGTTACAGACTTTCCTAAGATGTTGACAAAACACCACAGTCAAAATCACAACACTTTTCAAATAATCCCAAAACACCAGGTGTGTACTGTTATTTGCATCAGTTTAGCATACTGCACGCACCCGTCACGCAGGGAGCGTGAGTGAGCTGAGGTCTCTGAAGAGCGTTCAACCGTGAAGATCAGGGTTAGAATTGATCTTCAGCAACCTATGCTTGTCGACCGAGGCGACAAACAGGATCGGGTGGTCAGGCTCGCTGATTTGGTTGACACATATCATCGTATCCCAGTTGCGTAGATGGATGCTCATGCTGTTGATCACTGGATTGTCTGGTACAGACTGGATTATTTACAGACCGCCGTCATATAGCTGGAATATTGCTGAGTGCGGCGTAAAACAACAACCAAACAAAACAATAAATAAAGTTAATGGCGGAAATCAACTACGATGAGAGATGAGTGTTACAGAATATTCCAGAAAAATCCTTCTGGAAGTTTGACCACTGTTGCAACTTGATGAATACAATCTCTGCTTTAACTTGATATCTCCATTATATTTGTACTGCCACTCTATTTTGTTATTTTCAATGTAATTCCTTTGTAGTAGTGTGTATTGATGTGACTGACTGCAAGTTTGGTGTTACACCTTCCGGCAATATCACGGCAGGGATACCAATTAATAATTGTACTGTATTCAACCAGGGTCCGGCGTGACGTTTAACCACTAGTACGCCATTTGATGTGAAAACCTAAAGGATTTGCTGGTTGTAGTTTCGTTTGCTGGTTTCAAATGTCTTTTACGGACAGGTATCTGGTTAATTTACTGTTTCAGCTAGGAAACCCGGCAAAACAGTTATTTTTACTGTAAACTTCAGTGTTATGACGATGAGAAACGTCGAACATTAAACGCTTCATCATGCACAATCTAATAGCGTAAAGCAATTTTCCAGCTATTTGACGGCGGTCTGCAAATAAGCGAGTCAGAGGACCAGACAATCAAGATTGACATCAGGAGTATCAATCTAAGCAACTGTGATCAGATGATACATGTCAACCAGGTCAGCGAGCCTGACCACCCGGTCCCGTTAGTCACCTCCTGCAACAAGCATGGGCATTTGAATTCGAATTCTAACCCGGATCTTCACGGTTCGCCCTAATAAGCAAACCTGACTTTACAGATATATTGCCTGTTTGAAGTCTCAGACAAACAGCGCGGCTTCTATTTTCAACCACCATTTAATTACCGCTATAAAACACGCTATATAAAGTTTGACAAGACAATACCCCTGCATGACATACCCTGGCAGATTTACGGAGCATGACACACTGTGGTATGGCCCTCTTCACAGACAGGAATTATAGATCCTTTAGGTAAGAGCTCTTTGTATTTCATTTCTTCCATTATCGAATCAGGTTTTTAAAGTACAAATAAGTACATTTTTTTAGAAAAGTCAGCAGTTATTGTTGTCTTCATTCTAATTCATACTCTGACACAATGGTGCAATTCACAATAAAACCTAGCTGAAACAGTATTACATGATGACTGGATCACAGCAGTAAGTGAGTTTAGTTTTACGCCGCTTTCAGCAATATTTCAGCATTCCCAAGGCGTGGAACACCAAAAACGGGCTTCACACATTGTCCATATGTGGGGAATCGAACCCGGGTCTTCGGCGTGATGAGTGCAGGACCTAACCACTAGGCTACCCCACCACCCCTCATCACAGCCAGTACATACACATGTCTATTAATCAAGTACGAACACACTACATGTTGCTGATATGTGCTTGGACACCAAACTTTTCCTTTTAAAACGGTAAATAACACATTTTACACTCGTCATAACCAACAAAACTGAAATTGAAATGTGGTAGAATTGGTTTTCAGCAACCTATGCTTGTCGACCGAGGCGACTAACGGGATCGGGTGGTCAGGCTCGCTGATTTGGTTGACACATATCATCGTATCCCAGTTGCGTAGATGGATGCTCATGCTGTTGATCACTGGATTGTCTGGTACAGACTGGATTATTTACAGACCGCCGTCATATAGCTGGAATATTGCTGAGTGCGGCGTAAAACAACAACCAAACAAAACAATAAATAAAGTTAATGGCGGAAATCAACTACGATGAGAGATGAGTGTTACAGAATATTCCAGAAAAAAACTTCTGGAATTTTGACCCTGTTGCAACTTGATGAATACAATCTCTGCTTTAACTTGATATCTCCATTATATTTGTACTGCCACTCTATTTTGTTATGTTTAATGTAATTCCTTTGTAGTAGTGTGTATTGGTGTGGACTGACTGACTGACTGAGTTTGGTTTTACCCCGCTTTTAGCAATATTCCAGCAATATCACGGCGGGGGACACCAGAAATGGGCTTCAATAATTGTACCCATGTGGGGATTCGAACCCGGGTCTTCGGCGTGACGAGCCAACGCTTTAACCACTAGACTACCCCACCGCCCCGTATTGATGTGAAAACCTAAAGGATACAATTAATCTTACAATACCGCCGTTAATTGTACGCCATTTCTCTGTTTGCTGGTTTCACGGTAATGTCTTTTACGGACAGGTATCTGGTTAATTTACTGTTTCAGCTAGGAAACCCGGCAAAACAGTTATTTTTACTGTAAACTTCAGTGTTATGACGATGAGAAACGTCGAACATTAAACGCTTCATCATGCACAATCTAATAGCGTAAAGCAATTTTCCAGCTATTTGACGGCGGTCTGCAAATAAGCGAGTCAGAGGACCAGACAATCAAGATTGACATCAGGAGTATCAATCTAAGCAACTGTGATCAGATGATACATGTCAACCAGGTCAGCGAGCCTGACCACCCGGTCCCGTTAGTCACCTACTACAACATGCATGGGCATTTGAATTCGAATTCTAACCCGGATCTTCACGGTTCGCCCTAATAAGCAAACGTGACTTTACAGATATATTGCCTGTTTGAAGTCTCAGACAAACAGCGCGGCTACTATTTTCAACCACCATTTAATTACCGCTATAAAACACGCTATATAAAGTTTGACAAGACAATACCCCTGCATGACATACCCTGGCAGATTTACGGAGCATGACACACTGTGGTATGGCCCTCTTCACAGACAGGAATTATAGATCCTTTAGGTAAGAGCTCTTGTATTTCATTTCTTCCATTATCGAATCAGGTTTTTAAAGTACAAATAAGTACATTTTTTTAGAAAAGTCAGCAGTTATTGTTGTCTTCATTCTAATTCATACTCTGACACAATGGTGCAATTCACAATAAAAACCTAGCTGAAACAGTATTACATGATGACTGGATCACAGCAGTAAGTGAGTTTAGTTTTACGCCGCTTTCAGCAATATTTCAGCATTCCCATGGCGTGGAACACCAAAAACGGGCTTCACACATTGTCCATATGTGGGGTAATCGAACCCGGGTCTTCGGCGTGATGAGTGCAGGACCTAACCACTAGGCTACCCCACCACCCCTCATCACAGCCAGTACATACACATGTCTATTAATCAAGTACGAACACACTACATGTTGCTGATATGTGCTTGGACACCAAACTTTTCCTTTTAAAACGGTAAATAACACATTTTACACTCGTCATAACCAACAAAACTGAAATTGAAATGTGGTAGAATTGGTTTCTAGCATCCCATGCTTGTCGCAAGTGGAGACTAACGGGATCGGTTGGTCAGGCTCGCTGACTTGGTTGACACATGTCATCGTATCCCAATTGCATAGACCGATCCTCATGCTGTTTATCACTGGATTGTCTGGTCCAGATGCGATTAATTACAGACCGTCGCCATATAGCTGGAATATTGCTGACAGCGGTGTTAAACAATTAAACTAAACTGGTAACAATTACTTGGAATCTGATAGGAATGTACAAAACGTTAATACCAACAATGCTGGAATGTATGGTCACTATGTCAACGCAATCAATCTGATTGTCCCGCAGTTCTCAAATAATGGTAGTTGTGATTGTATGATTATTTGTTGTTGATTGTATGATTGTTGTGATTGTTGTATGATTGTTGTGATTGTATTGATTGTTTGTGTGATTGTATTGATTGTTGTGATTGTATGAT